TTAAATCTTATGAAAAGCTGCAATAATGTCCAGCTTAGTGAATTATTTAGCCTGTTCAATTCACTATAGAGTCTTACTGATTAATGATAGAGAATATCAATTCTTTTAGATGATTTTGTTAAGAGCTTGATAGTTTACACAGAATCTTAGTTCACTCTCAGACTTCTTTGCAAATAGTACGGAGGTGGCTGCAGAAGAGTTGCTCACTCTAATAAAATTCTTATCTATATAATCTGTAAGAGTCTTTCACAAAGTCAGTAGTTTCTCTTGAGATATATTATATAATAAGTTTCAAAGAGGTTGTTCTATACTATCATCAGTCTTTTTAATCAGTTTAATTCTATGATCTCTATATGAGTCATGAAGTGGGGGTAGAGTGTTGACAGCTTTCTTATCAAATATGATCAAAAACTCATGATAATATTTAAGTAGCTTTTCTCTAAGTTCAATCTTTGATTTCACTTTTAGAGTCTTTTGAATGTCAGTCAAACTGACAGTGAAGATCTTGATGTTTTACTTCTCTTGAGTGCTCACAAGCTTAGAGAAGCTTATGACAGAGATGGAAATCACATCAGCTTTTGCATTTGAACTAGACTCTATCTCTATGTCACTCTCTTCAAATCTCATAATTCTTTGATAAGGGATCATGGTCACCTTTTGCTGGGCCAGCCAGGGGTCACCTAGATACATATCATGACCATATAACTCATTCACCACATAGAAAAAGGCCTGTTCAGTTATGTGACTGCCTATATCAATTTGAATGCTAGTTATTATGCTTGTGAAGAGTCTCATGAAGTCTTCAAAGTCAGTCATTTTAACAGGAAGAATTTCAATGTACAGGAGCTTATGCTTGTTAATGTAGAATTGAGAAATAAGATTATAGACATTATATTCACTGTCTATCATTGCTCTAGTTGAAAAGGCATTATCTACTAAAGCATTAACAGTGAAGGATTTGAATATCATCTTAGATTTAAATCTTCTTTATTGCTTCTTCATAAGCTTCATATTTTGCTTCTTTCAGTGTCTTTGAGTTAGAACTACTCTTTTCTCAAATCCTCACTCATATTCACATTGTCATCATCCAGTACTAGCTAGGAGATCACTTTAGCTATTATGAGGGTGACAGAGTATCTAAGAAATTTGAACAGACAGCTCTTAATCATATGACCTCTGGCTTCACATCTCAGGCACAGGTCTTGCTCTCTTCATCAATTAATCTCTGTCTGATTTATCAATTTGATGTGATGAGCACTTGAGATCACAGCACCAGGAGAGAGATTCATCAGATCATCAGTGAAAGCTTGAGACTGATTTTATCAATCAAGGACAGCATGACAAAGAGAAGAGTATGAATTAGATATTGTATGATCTGAAGAAGATCTGCTTTTGTGACATTTAGATCACTGTCTTAAAGTCTTAAGCTTAGAGAGTTGATGATTAACTAATCTAAGCTTCTTGCAGTAATTCTTGTAGAGAGATGACTCTCTTACACTCATCATGCCTTCCCTCAGCTTCATGCTTAGAGTGAATTTCAAATATCTCTTTTTAATGTGATCATCTCATTTGTGATCATCAGCTTCCAGCAGTAGATGATTAAATTCAGACAGAAAGTCAAAGAGAGCTCTTCTACTCTGTTATAGATTGTTGAGCTTTTGCATAGTCTTTTTCTATTGTGCAGAATCACTAAAGAGCATATGTGTCTGCTTCAGTAAGTTCTCTACTGTGAAGTTGATCTTGTTTTTATTATTCTCAACTCAGAGATAAACTCAAGCTACTGTTATTTCTTTCAGTCTTGAGTACACATACCAAGTACATTCCTCATTATTATCTAAAGCTTTCCCATTGATCTTAAGTTTTGATTGAAGCTTTAGCTCTCATTGAGAGTAGTGCTTCAGATTAAAATCATCATACTTCTCATAGTTCAGTAGCTTAGTCTTTGATCTTCTGACTGCAATAAGTGATTGCAGATTCAATTGACAGAGAGTTAATGTTGAGATGTTCAAAGCTTGTTATAGATTAGCTATTTTAGCTTGCTGAGCTGCTATTAAATCTCTGTTCTCACACTGAACCTGTTTCTGCTGTTGAAGAAAGATTATTCATTATTGTTCAAAGCTGTTGAGAGTGTTCTTGCTCATTGCTTTGTGTTAATTCATTTGTGTATTCATTGTACAAGTCTGTCATCAGTCTATTCATATACCAGTGCTATCACTGAACTTTGTGATGCATGATTTAAGACTTTCAATAGTCTGTTGTATGTCAGCACATTTGCTGAGCTTCATGATACAGAATTAAGACTCTTAGTAATCTATTAATGAAAGAGATGAAGTAATTCATAATGTAGAGAATTAAGCTCTAAGAACTAAAGACTAGTCCTCCTATAAAACAAGAATGAATTGCTTGAGAAAGGGAAGAAAAGAATGAGATGAGAACATGAGCTTAAGCAAGCTCATGTAGCATGATCATATGTGCACATGCAGCATAATCACATGTACACATGTAAATGATGACTAGGCTGAGTCAGTCAGTCAGAGTGAATCTAGAGGTTCAGCCTCTTATATATTTTAATTTTAATAAAGTAATAATACTTTTATTAGCTTATTATATATAAATAAATAAATAATAATAAATTATATAATAGTAATTTTAATAAATAAGTTAATTAAAATAATATTTTTTAACTATTAATAAATATAAATTTTAAATATTTTTTGATTAAATATAACTATTAATGATATTCTTTAAATATAAAAGATTTAAGTAAGAAAATACTCAGTAATATATTATTTAAATAAAATAAATTTAACAATATATAATTAATTATATGAATAAAATTTAAAAATAATAAAATTATAAATTAAATTGATATTATTATAAGTTAAGTTTATATAACTGATAAAATAAATAATAATTTATATATATAAAATTATATTTAAGTTTTTAAAAAAATAATATAATAGTATCATTTACTTAACTATTATATTATTATTTATTGAGTTATGATAATTTTAGTTTCTAAGATATAGAAATTAATATTATATAAAAACAATAATAATAATAGTTTAGTAATTATTTTATAAAAATTATTTAATAATTATTTAATAATATATATATATAAATTTTTTTAAATTTATTTTTTATAAATTATCTAAATATTTATTGAAATAAATTATTTATTTAATAATTAAATTTTTATTTATTTATATTTAAATTAAATCTATAAAAGAAAATATTATAATATAATATATATAAATTTATTAAATATATTATATATATACTTTTAATATAAAAAATAATTTATAATATAATTAATTAAATTTTTAGTAGTTAAAATATAAAAATATTCTTATTATTTAATAAAGTAAAAATAACTTATTTATTTATAATTATATTATATCAATTAATAATATTTTTTTAAAAAAAAGTAATTAATAAAAAAATAAAAAAATTAAAAAAATTATAATTATTTTTAAATTAATATTTTATAGAAAAAAATAATAATTATTAATTATAAATATTTATTAAATTATTTAAATTAAGATTAAAATAAAAATAATTTAAAAGTTTTAATTAAATTATATAAAAATATAAGATAATATAAAAAAATAATAATTTTTATATTATATATAAATTATATAAATGTAATAAAAAAATTTTTAATATTAAAAAAATTTATATTCTATTTTAATACTATTTTTTACTTCTTAAAATAAAAATAATAATTTTAATTATAATTTATATTTTGTCTAATTTTATTTTTATACTTTTTCTTTTCTTTAAATATGAGAAAAATGTAATAAAAAATAATATCTTCTATTAAAAATAAAAAATAGAAAAAAGAAAAAAAATAAAAAAATTAATGATACATAATAACACAAAGTATGATGATAATTAAGTGAAAGAAATAAAAGAAAAAAACAAAACTTTGTATTTAGTTTACATGTGAAAAATAAAAAAATGATATAAAATAATCTTTCAGTAAATATCATTCAAATACAAAGTTTAAATAATGCAAGAGAAAAGAATATGAAATTAATCTCTGGAAAAAAAAATGAAAAAAATTTAAGAGTAGAAATATAGAGATTCTATGCCAACTTTCAAAAGCTGTCCTACTCAGTATGTTTATACCCACACTGATGACAAACCTAGCAAGGTGCGGAAACAAAAATGAGAGAAATGACAGCAAAAAAATACAGAAAGGTAAAAAGAAACAACAAAAAAGGAACCCAAGATGTGTGGTCATGAGACAACTCCCTCCCAGCTCAGCTTGTGGGTTCAAAAGGTCTCATCTTCAGATCAGAAGGTGAGCCAGCAGTGGAGTTGAGGAAGATGTTTGTCCCTAAGATGACAGGGGCGAAGCAGGGAGAGTAGAAATGCCAAGTGTGTGTGATAGAAAAAAATAAAAATAAAAAAAGGGAGGGAGAGAGATGGGGGAAGAATAGAAATCCTTAGTAATTGTACACGGATAGATAGAGGGTATAGAGAGGAATTAATACAGATATGTGATACCGGATGAATGCTGATACAAGGAAGAAAAAGGGTGCCAATATGTTAAGATGTTGGTATACATGACAAAACGGCAAAATGCACCTAAGAAAATATCTCAGAACTGATATTGAAGTAGTTGTAAAGGGCCATGCGATCAGGCTGTAGGTGGAGTGAAGTCATTTTCGGTGCGTCAATTCGGATCAGGATATCATCGCGTATCAGCACGTAGATGTGAAGGAGAAGGCTAGCGATGAATAGTGAGCGCAGTCGTTTACTCAGCCTGATCGTCATTCCACGCGTTATGTGGAAGGGTTATTGGTGTGGAGAATGTTTGTTTGCCAATTGCGCCTCACTTCCCCCCTTGTAGACTTTTTTGGAGAGAGTGAGAATTGCCCACCGAGTTACCAGGACTCAAAGGAGCAGTTTATCCCCCGCCATCCTCACTTTCGTCGAGGTGAAAAGAGCGTCAATCTACTTTGTCTGTCGCCTACAGCTGGAGTAGTGGCTGTCTATTTCCATCGCGCAGCCTCCCAATCGGAACGCCTCATCTCGTTGTAAGTGCGGCTTCCGTGGTTGTGAACCACTACATTGCCCGACCGCTTGGAGGATTGCACTGTTTGGGGTGCTACTGTTGTGAATAAGGCCTTTCGTTAGCGAGCTGTGAAGTGGACGCGGGGTATTGAGACTCTCGGAGAGAGAAGTTGAAGAGAGATTGTCGTCAACTTTGGAATTGGAAGAAAGCTTACCTTGTGGGACGTAGGATACATTGTGGATTTTGACACTTTTGCCGTCCTGACTTAGCGTCGTGCTGGAGGTATATGAATCGATGACTTTGTGTGGCATGATAGTGGCAGTGGGAGGTAGGGATATGAGGTAGTGGGGTAAATGGAAAAGAACAAAAGCGATGGTGAGTTGGAATGACTTGACGCGAAGAGAATATCACAGTGACCAGTAGAGGCAGTAACGTCTTGGAGAGAGATATTGCTTTGGAAAATTTGAAAGAGCAGACGAGGAGCTTTTATATGGTAAGATATCTTCAAGAAAGTAGTCTGGTGGATGACCAATAGTGGGAGCCTGATACTGGTGAAGCGGAGATATAAAAAAAAGATGATTTTGAAGTTATTAAGGGGCTTGGTTATCTAATCGGCAGGTCTGAAGACTAGGGAAGAAGAAAGATGGTTCGGGTGGGAAGCTGTTTTATATTAATGTTTGATGATGATTGTCAATGCTGCGGGGACGATAACCTTGATGATTGTTTGGTACTGCGCATCCAAAAGAAGCCATGCGGAAGGCAAATATTTCGCCAGAGTCATAAAGCGGTAATTATCCCAAGATCAAGCAGCAAGCACAGCGACAAAGCCAGAGATTTTGGCAAGGCACCGAACAAACAGCACCTGAAAGAGATTTTTCTGCGGCGTGCGAGTCCAAAAATAATATAAAAACAATACAATAAAAGTAAAAGTAAAAACAAACAAAGCACCCTATTCAGGCCGAACTTACTGGCTTGAAGGGACGCATGCTAGGCTGCGGAATGACGATTTTCCCAAGCACTGAAATAAGTTCAACAGCGGAAGAGCGATATTTGTTGAGGATATTGTTAAATGAAGGGCTGAAAAGTCAAAGAGTGCTCCATCAATCCATCCATTTATAATATTTTGGTTGTTAAACATACTAGAGAGGCCGCCTAGATAGCATCGATTCCAGTGTTCCAGATAATTATTTTGATTCACCCCAAAATCCGCCTTCGAGCCTCTCACAGGATCTAGTGTGCATCATGCAAGGAACAGTCCTGGATTTAGGCTTACTGGAGTCTATTGAATTTGTTTGTTTGACGCCCAGAACTAGTAACTTCAGGCGATGAATTTGTCTGACCCTTCTGTCACGTCACCTATTTTCCACCATATAGAGTAGTAATCGAACTAAGACTACCACTTTATCAGGTTATAAGACCTGTTTTGCGCTCCAACAGTCAATTCAAGAATTATCTTGTCAAAATCAGTGACTGCTTGCTTCATTTGATCTATAGATCATCTTATTTATCTTTACACTCTGTATTTAATGAAGTTCTTAACTCATTTCTGAATCTTTAATAATATATGAAGGAAATAAAATTATATAGAATATTTTAACTTATAAATCATTTTTTAAAAAAAATATATATTTTAGTAAGATAATTTTTTAAAATTATAGAGATTCTTCTATAAGCTTTTACTATATTAACTTGCTCTCAATTTCTTGAATTTAGTAATAATAAAATAAATTTAATAAAATTTTATTCTATAATATAATTATATTTTTAAAAGTAAATTAACTTCATTATTTTTATTATAACTAATTTTTTATCTTTTAAATATTTTTTAAATTCTTTAAATTTTAACTGATGAGAATATATTTAAAATTTTAATTTTAATAATTATTTTTTTATAACTTTTGCAATTGTTAAATTTTATTAATTTAATCTATTTTTCAATACTCATATAGAATATATATTTAATGATGATAATTATAATTACTATTTTCTTAGTAGAATGTAGTTAAAATAATAATAATAATAAAAGAAATAAAAAACTATAGAATTAATAATTCAACTAAAATTTATTTAAATAGTGATTTATACTATTATTAAAAGTATATTTACTAATATAATTTCACACTAAGAAAGTCATCATATTGAATGAATCATTAATTTAAAATATTTTTTAATTTAACTATTTATTTATTTTAATATATAATTATACTATTAATTTATAATAAAAAAAACTTTAAATTCTTCAAAGTAAGAGAAAAAATTTAAACTTGTAAATAAATATTATTAAAAAGCAAGAAATATTCTCAATTTGCAAAGCTGTAAGATTATTTAATATGTTATATTTAACTCTTATCTATCAACTTTATAATCAATTTGCATATGTGATTTTATATATAAAATCATATATATTATCTTCTGCTAAATAGAATAGACTAGTTTAATGAGTGTTGAATTTAGCTAAATGAGAATTTCTCTTTTAGTCAGTATTTATTAAGAATATAATTAATTATTTTCTTATTTTATAATATATTATTATTATTCCTCTCTAAGTCAGCAAGAACTGAATTTCAAAATTGATTAAATATTATACAGAGCTTTAAAGCTGCTATTTCAGACACTATAATCATGATCAGGCTAAATGTAAAAATATAAAGATTATTCAGAGCTGATTTAAGATTTTAAAAAATATAATTACTGAGTATGAAATTCTTTTAGAACATATATATAATTTTGATAAGACTGATTTTACAATAAAACTCTTTGCAACTACTAAAATCATTACTAATAGTGAGTGCTATGATTAAACTAAGCTGCTATAGTCTGAAAATTAAAAATAAACTATTGCAGCATAGCTGCTTGTATATGAATTAAGATTAATTTACTTTACTACACTCTCAAGATTGATTTATTTTAATCTCAATTATATTTAGTTGCTTATATTGATCTGATCTGATTCTCAATTATCTATATATATTCAGCTGCTTATTTATTCTTCATTTTAATTTTCAGTTTAGTATTCTCATCATATCTGCCTAGTTAGATAGATAAATTAAAGCTATTATCTTGTTATCATTCTGACTCTAATTGAGTCATGATATAATATTAAACTTCTCTTTATTAAAAAGCCCTGGAGATTGAATAGCAGGTTTATATTTATATATTTATATCTATATGAGCTTCTCAGTAGTTGTAACTATACTGAATGCTCAAATTCAAATCTATGTCTATATCTATATCTATTTTTATATCTATATCTATATCTATATCTATATTTATATCTGTATCTGTATGAGCTCCTTAGTAGTTGTGATTGTGCTGAATGCTCATAACCTTTATTAATTTTTATCATTTTTATCTATATTTTAGAAGCTTCTTTTGATGTTCTTCATAAGAAATTTAGAAATGCTATCAAAGAGCTTTATCAAAATCAATAGCTCTCAATCTCACTATTAATTTTAATCTGTCTGAAGTCTTCTCTGCCATATTTTAATCAAATTCTTAACAGTCTATATTATTAAGTTGAATGTATTCTCAGAAGGCTAGATTTTTTAAAAATATCTTAATTCTACTAAGATCTCTGTATCAATTCACAACTATTTAGCTTAGCAATTAAATTTTTCTCAGATTTACAAGGAATTCTTACGCGTTGTTTAGCAATTAGCTTCTAGTTCTTCATATTTATTCACATCATAAGCTTACTTTAATTATTTTCATCGCTCTGATCATCATGAATATGATAACTTTATGAATTTTAATTAGATTCAAATTAATGCTTTTGATCTTCTAGATGATTTTTTATTATATACTCTGTCAATTTCACTCTCTCAATGAGATAAATTCTGTTAAAACGGCTATTATATATACTGTGAATCTCATAATCATTGAGTTAAAAACTATTATTTTTATTCATATTCTTTTAAACATTATCACTATTAAACTATTAAAAGAATCTGAGTTTCTAAACAAGAATTTGATAATAACTGTAATGTTAGTTGTATATAAAAGAAAATCTATAAGAATTTAATGAATAATAATCAAGGCAATGAGCCTACTGATAAGCTTGATGAATTTTTATTTTGCTCTTTTCTTGCTTTTAATGTAGCTGATTAAAAGCAAACACTCTTTTAAACCAGGGGATAATGTTATAGTATAGCTACTTGTATATAAATTAAAATTGATTCACTTTATTATACTCTCAGAATTGATTCATTTTGATTTTAATTATATTCAGTTACTTATGTTGATCTGATTTAATTCTCAATTATCTTTATATATTTGACTAATTATTCATTCTTTATTCTAATTCTCAGTTTAGTATTCTTATTATAGCTGTCTAATTAAATAAATGAATTGAAGTTATTATCTTATTATTATTCTAACTTTACTTAAGCTATGATATAAATTATTATGATTATATCAGTTATCGTATCAGAATAAACTCTATTATGATATATTATTCTTAAAGATTGAAATCTGTTAAAGAGATATTTTGAAAAGCATTCTGTAGATTAAAGACTTGATATCAGTTTTAATGACTGAACTTCAAATGAAATATATTTTATATAATTTACACAAATGTTTATTTTATAAGCAAAGTCATATTAAATTAACTTTCATATTTTTTTATTCTGAATATATGTAACAGTTACTTTATTCTAGAAATTAATTAAATTTATAAAAATAATAGAATTATTATACTTAGTATATTATTTTATTTATCACATTTTTTACAATCACTAGATATGAGTGCTTTTACATGTGAAAATTGATGTTATTATCTGAAAGAAAGTCAATATTCAATCTGTGTCTATTCTGATCATGTCAATTTTTAGTATTTTATAACAACTAAAACACTGAATCAATGTCAGTCTAGATGAGCAGAAGTACTATCAGCATATGACTTCATTCTGCATCACTACTCAGATAAATAAAATCCAGCTGATGAATTCAGTTACTGTGCAGATTATATTGACTCTTTTCATGATGAAATCATGCTTTCTATCTTGCAACAGAAGCTTTATCATAGTGTCAAATAGAATTAAAAATTTAACTCTTATAAAAAACTTACAATTCTTGTTAACTACATATAGGTCTATAATTAATAGCATACACTTTGTATGAATTCTCTTAATCTCAACACTCTGAGCTCTGAACCTCTCTCAAATCTCACTCTAAGTGCAGATTCTCTGTTATCACTACATCAAATACTCACTTACAAGCTCATATTACACTTATTAAAATTACTCAATATGCTGATCAAAAAACTTATAAAAGAGAAAACTCTAATTTTAAAAAGATATTTTAAAAATTAAGA